GCCCCCGACTCGGTTAGCGAGCCGCAGGGCCTGATGGGACTGCACGGGAGTCGACCTAGGGCTGTGTAGGCGGGGCTTCTCCGGAGCCTTCCCAGGGCCGCCCTGCGAACGCTCCGCCACTCGGTCCCGTAGCTGAGCTTGTCTCGCGCTGGGGGCTCTCGGGCCTCTGTCTCTGACTGACAGGCCTCTGTGCCGGCCGCAGCCGCCAACCTTGGAAACCCGGTGTGGCCCTTGGAGGATGACCGTTTCGGTCCCCTGCTCCCTGTGGAGTGGGCGGGCTGACAGGTGAAGCCAGGGGACTTCAGCTCTACTCCTGTGATGCTCTTAGATAGCAGGTTCAAGAACTTGGAGCCTGTCTCCCTGCCTGAGAAATGGGGAATCCGCCGTAACTCTTCCTGTGGTGTCAGCTGCTCCCCTCTGCAGGCTGCCCCAGAGCCCTTTACAGTCTTAGGGTACTGACCACCCTGTGTGAGCCTGTTGTTCCCTTCAAACTTCCCCGGAAGGCAGGACCCTGTCCTCATGCACAGGGTCTGACATGCCCACAAGGCTTACTTCGGGTTTGTTTATGGCCTGGAAAGCCTTCTACTGGGTTCTGGAGGTGGGAGCTGCCCATGGGCCCTGCTGCTTCTGGAAGGCTCTTGAGCAGTAAGCAGTAGAAGCAGCCTTGGATTAGAACAAGGGTGGGCTCCAACTGCCCATCAGCAGATGAGTGGGTAAAAAAGCTGTGGTACATTTACACCATGGAATACTATGCAGCCGTAAAAAAGAAGGATCTCTTACCCTTTGAGACAGCATGGAGGGACCTGGAGAGTATGCTGCTAAGCAAAGTAAACCAGTCAGAGAAAGACAAGTATCACATGATCTCACTCATATGTGGAATCCAAGTAACAAAAGAAACTGATGAACACAGTATTTCCAGAGACATGGAAGCATGGAACAGAGTGTGGAATCCCAGAGGCAAGGTGGGGGAGGGTGGGTGGTTGACAAGAGATTAACCAAAGACCTTGTATGCATATATATGCATAACCCATGGGCACAGACAATAGTGTGGTGAAGGCCTGGGGTGGGGGGGGGGCAGGTGTGGGCTAGAAGGAATCAAGGGGGGGAGGGGGAAGGGACATCTGTAATACTTTCAACAATAAAGATTTAAAAAAGGAAAAAAGGTGGGCTCTACTTGCTTCTGTAGGTATCATTTCAGTTTGATCATAACCCTCAGCTGACTAATACAGAGAAATACCAAAGCTTATGATCACCTAGGTCTGAACAGCAAAGAACACAGGTCTGGGATCCTTATCTAACAATAGTTGCGCTTATTGAACATGTGAGTCTGCTTTGTGCTTCATAAGCAAGAGCACATTTTAATCTTACAATAATCCTATAAATTGGTTAGTACAGATACTTGTTAGGTCTGATCCCCCCTCCCCTGGGAACTGACCTTTAGGCCACTTCACAATGGGCACTCTGCTTGCTTAGCCCACATTCCACTTGCTAAGACCATTATCTCTCCCCTCCAGAGTTTCCCGGAATCCAGGCCTGCACAGAGAATTCTCCGCCCAGAAAAAGCCCGCCTAGAGTCCTTTAAAAACTTCTGACTCCCCATCTTTGGGTGCTGGCGCCATTTGGGGGCTCAGCCCCTCTGCGTTTCTAGATGACCTAATAAATTCATAATTCTTCACCCCTTTTGGCCTTGTGTGTTCCTCCTTTGACGACCCTAACAGTACTGTCATAAGGGGAAACAATCAGTTAAGTAACTTGCCTGGTAACAAGGCCCAGGTTTTAATTCAAGTGGGTTTGATGTTAGATACTATCCTGCTATTAAATCTGCATTTACCCTCTAAATCAGAACAATTTGCTTACCCTCACATGTTTGTGGTGGACGGTAGGGGCATGTCATACAACCCTCTGAAATATATTTTCTCTCACTATATACATCTCTCCCCTTCCATAACTTTATGGTCCCTGTGCCCTGCCATAAAAATATATTTTCTTCCTTACACTCTTCTAGTATAAGGTTGTTCAAATAATTTACTCCTTGTATTTGTTTTATTATATGCTTTAAAACAGGATCTCTAAAATGGTACATTACTATTGGAATAAATAAATGAGTGGGTAACTATAGCATGAGTGTGAATAAGTCAGCAATGAAAAACAGCTTTGAAATAAAGATTCGGGAGCAGTGAATTGAAAAGATAGAGAAGAGCAATTTGAATCAGGTGGTAATTAGGCCTCTGTAGGTAGGTAGCTCTCCTCCCACCACTCCCTTCAACTAGGGCAGTGGTCAGCAAACCCATTAGTCAACAGAGCCAAATATCAACAGTACAATGATTGAAATTTCTTTTGAGAACCAAATTTTTTAAACTTAAACTATATAGGTAGGTACATTGTTATTAACTTAATTAGGGTAGTCCTAAGGCTTAGGAAGAGCCACACTCAAGGGGCCAAAGAGCTGCATGTGGCTCATGAGCCGCAGTTTGCCGACCACAGAATTAGGGTAATACACACAGCTCCCACCAGAATCTGAAATAAGTGGAAAAGATAGGGATGAACCTGAATCAACTTGAACACAAGAAAAAAGGGGCAGATGAAGGTGGAAGACAGAACAAGGACAGATGCAAACTAAATCAGGATATTGTGCTAAGCCTGGACAGCAGATAGAGCACTTTGTCCAAGTCCCCAGGGCCTGTACCAGGGAACACACTGCCTTTGGGCCAGCCTGGACTCTCTGACCACCAACAGCCTGACTGGAGTCAAAACACTGGTGCCCCCACTTTCCTGGCCAGGACGGGGCTGGTGGTGCCCACGAATGCCTGGGCCTACTGCACTGACCCTTACAAGAGGGCACAGCTTAAGGCCATTCTCTCCCAGATGAACCCCAGCCTGGGCCTGCAGCTGTGCAAGGCCAACACCTAGGAGGCAGGTGTGCAGGTGAGCCTACGTGTGCTCAGGTTGGTACAGTGCTCGCTGGGCCTTCTCAGCCTGCACAGCTGCTCTCCTTGGGGCTGTAGAGGCCCCAAGGTACCCCTACCAGCCTGGGACTACTATTCACTAGTGCTGAGCCTCAGGGACTTGATCCAGCTGTGGAAGGATGGGAAGGATGAGAAGGACAAGGAGAGGAAGGAGGTTTCGGGTCCCACAGAGGAAAGCCAGCAGCAGCAGAAGTCACCACCAAGGCCAGGGTTGCAAGAGGACAAGCAGGAGGAACTCTGGCAGCAGGACAAGTTGGGGGAGGAAGATGCCTCTAGTCCTGGGCGGAGCAAGCAGGCCCAGGGAGATGCCCACCCTCTCAGGAAACCCAACTTCCGGGCAAAATTTGTCTTCCCCTCCTCAGTCCTCTGCTGGCCCCTTCCTCTCTTTCTGCTTTTACATTTCTGGGGCAACAAGAACAAAATCTTCCTGCTTCCTCCTTTTATTTGATGAAGGAGAGGAAGTTCTGAAAACTTGTATTTTACATGGCCTCCATGTTTTGTAACTTTTTGAAGCAGGGTGTCAGCTTTAAGCATTTGCTAACCAAAAGTCTGGCAATCATTATTAATTGGAAATGGGAGACAAAGAAGGGTTGCAATCAGTGAAATATGTAATCAGAATTTTGTTTTGGCTCAGTGGATAGAGCATGGGCCCACGGACTGAAGGGTTCTATTCCAGTCAAGGGCACGTACCTCCGTTAAAGGCTCAATACCCTGCCCTCGTCGGGGTGTGCTCGGGAGGCAACCAATCGATGTGTCTTTCTCACATTGATGTTTCTCTCCCTCTCCCTCTTCTTCCACTCTCTCTATACATCAATGGAAAAATATCCTCAGATGAGGGTTAACGAGAGAGAGAGAGAGAGAGAGAGAGAGAAGAAAAGAAAAAAAAAACACAGAAAAAGTGTGAGAGACTGTAGGGAGAAGAATCCCAGAGAAATCCTTCACAGATGAGACACTGAATTAATGTAGTTACCTTGAGAACAGCTGTGAATGAGGTTAAACAGGCCTTTTGCATTTCCTACACAAAGTCACAAGCTTTTCTAGGATTAAAAGACTCTTCCTCTTTATTTTCCATTTTTGGATCCAAAATATGGCAATTTTTTTGTGTAAAGATTGTAAGACCAGATGGGAGAGTGCTTATGTGAAGTGCATTTCTGGAACTAGTAAGATAAAAGTGTGTGGGCAATGATGTTAAGTGGAGGAAGAATGTGTTTCCTAATGGAGTGTGACTTAATGCTGTCTCATTCATCATGGCATCCTCCATGCCAGACATATTTTTGGTTTAGGGTTAAGTCAATAGTCAGTCCTTTTATCTTGAATATTTGACTGAGTCGATATATAATATTTATTATAATATTAATACCACATTCTTGGTTGTATTCAAGCAGCCTAAAGAGTGTGCTAAGTCCCAATAGGTACTTTATGAGGAAAATTGGCTCCACTATAACCATCTATACCAATGATGGTGAACCTTTTGAGCTCGGTGTGTCAGCATTTTGAAAAACCCTAACTTAACTCTGGTGCCGTGTCACATATAGAAATTTTTTGATATTTGCAACCATAGTAAAACAAAGACTTCTATTTTTGATATTTATTTTATATATTTAAATGCCATTTAACAAAGAAAAATCAACCAAAAAAATGAGTTCACATGTCACCTCTGACACGTGTGTCATAGGTTCGCCATCACGGATCTATACTAATAATAGAGGAATATGCAAATTGTCCAGAACGCCGTCACAGTAACAGTAATGACCAGCAGGCTGAGTGGGGCGACCAGGCTGGCAGGGGGGGCAGTTAGGGGTGATCAGACAGGCAGGCAACGGAGCAGTTAGGAGCCAGCGGTCCCAGATTGTGAGAGGGATGTCTGACTGCCAGTTTAGGCCCAATCCCAGGGATCAGGCCTAAACCGGCAGTTGGACATCCCCCGGGTGGTCCCGGATTGCAGAGGGTGCAGGCTGGGCTGAGGGGATCTCCCCCTCCCATCCACCCCCATGCATGAATTTTGTGCACTGAGCCTCTAGTTAAAAAATAATTTTAAAAAACAACCCTCCTAATGTTGATTTTGTTGCAGAAGCTGTTTATTTTATAAATATTGTGTTTCAGATAAAATTAAGTGGATTTGAACATAGAGAATATTGTTCTACTTTATGTTTTGAAATTTGTATTAAATTGTAAAATATGGGCAGATAAAAAAAATAGCCTGCTATATTTGATCAACATTTAATTAACTCACCCCTAATGCCTTGGCAGGGCCAGACCAAATGATTTTGCAGGCCTTATACAGCCCGAGGGATGGACATTCCCCACCCCTGTACTGGATCAACTGTCCTCAAAGGCACAAAAATCCTTCTCCATTTATACGCCTGCATTGGGACCACTTTTCATCCTCTGCAGCCCAGGGCTTGGTTCTGAAATTCCATCACAGGTCTAGCACAACACAAACTGCTTCCTTCCTCATTTTCCCTCGCTTCTCCCTCCCAATGGTCTCCATCATTTCCACAGGAACAATTTTAGAGTGAGTAATGACAACAGAAAGAAGGGTGGTCATAAAAAAGAAGAGGGGGCTTTGGGGTGAAGAAATGTTCAATTTCTTGCTCTGGGTTTTGCTTACCTGGGTGTGTTCAAATTCATCAAGCTGTACACAGGTGTTGAGTCCTTTTATGTATGTATTTAAAACTTTTCTTTTGCTTATATGTGTGTGTGTGTGTGTGTGTGTGTGTGTAAATATATATATATATATATTTCTAATTGGGGTAAAATACACACAATATAAAATTTACCATTTTCACCATTTTAAGGGTACAATTTAGTTGCTCTAAGTATATTTACACGGTTGTGCAACCATCACCAGCATCCATCTCCAGAAATTTCATCTTGCAAAACTAAAACTCTTCCTAGTTAACAGTTCTCCATCCTGCCCAACCATTGTCTACTATCTGTCCCTATGAGTTTGACTGCTCTGGTGCCTCATAAGTGGAATCATACAGTATTTTTCCTTTTGTGACTGGCTGTTATTGTTCTAGTCAAAGAGGAATCCTTGGAGGTAGCCAACTCTATCTTACAGAAGATCCTGTATAAATGTGCATTCTTCAAGGAGACGCCTGTCCTGTAGGTGCAATGGATGCAAGAACTGCTCGTATGTTCATTGTGTGAAAGACTTCTATTTATAACATATCTTTGCTCAGACATGCTGAATCCATCAACCAGAAGCTCTTTATTTTCCGCCTCTCTCAACACACTCCTCACCATATTTTTTAACATTAAAAAAAATCTTAAAGTCACAATTTGAAAAAACTGCTTACATTTCCAGAGTGAATTTTGTAGTTTACTGTTATGAAGTTTTTTACATGTGTATGATTTTAAGTATTGACATGTTTGTAATTTGAGTGAATTATGCTGATGGTATCACCATCTCCTAAAATTGTGTTAGTTATGTTTTTTGGGGGAAATTGAAACTTACAAGAACTTCCTAGCACATGGTGTTGGAAAAACTTGGTTTCCACATGTCACTAATCATTATAAAATGTTCTATATTGATGCACTGATAATAAACATGAAATGAAAAAATAATAAAAAATAAAGGTACACGGTGAAAATGTGTAGGTACGAGGACATTTGGTCAGCCTGTGGATTATTTTATTAATGCTACTCTGGGTCTGGCACTCTGCAGAGCATTTTCCGCTCCTTCTTATTAGTCCTCACAACTCCATTTTCACTTTTCAGATGAGAAAACTCATTTGTAAAGTCAAAGAGATAAAATAACTTCTGAAGTCACATGGCTGGAAAGGAGAGGTGCAGAATTCAGACCCTTGTCTGTGTCCCTGGTTTCTGGGCCTGGACGCAAGCGTGAGACTGTCTACCTTACAGAAGTGTTATGGGTCCCCACTGAGCACACACCTTCTAATTCCAGAGACCATGTGAATTACAGAGCATTCTTTATCCGACTCTGAATGGCAGACAACTTGTCTACCACCCATTTGGGGGTGCATCTCGGCCCTGGCTATGCCAGCCTACAGTCCTCCCGCCCTTGGGGGCCTGGCCATGGCCAGGAATTCGGGGCTGTGTATGGATGAGAGCCCCTCCTCCCATCCCTCCATCACCCATGAGCCCAGGGCCACTGACCTCCTAAGAGCTATCGAAATGCCCAGCTCAGGTGCCACCTGGGCCAGGCTGGCTAGGACCTCCCTGTCCATAGAACCTAGGCTTTTTCCAAAACATCCAGCAGAACAGATTTTGCACTTAGGGTCTGAAATGTGGGAACTTTTCAACTTGTGTTCTGGGGATGATTTTGAATGTGCTGTTACCTTAGAGCCATCAAAGGACTGAGGCCAGTCTTTTTGTTGTTGTTGTTGTTATACTGTATCCTTTAAAATCACCCCAAAGTGTACTTATAAAGCAGGAATTGTTTATGTGGGAAGTGCATTTCTGACCAGGACTTGGAATGAGACACATGACGGGCATTGCCAAATGTCATTAAAGCAAAGACGCAACATGCAATTCTTGTAATTACATACAGAAAAGTCTTCCCCAAGAGCGATAAACTCCAGCTCCCTAAATGCATCAGAGCTGAGCAGGATCGGGGATGAAGGAAGACTTGAGGGACAGATGAGGCAAACATGTCCAAAATTACTTCTTCATGACACGTGAGAAGTGGTAGCACTGCTGGAAGAACCCTGGGAAACATGATTGTAAGTCAGTAAGTACCTGTGAAAAGACAGAACAGCCACTGCAGTCATGTCTCAAGTTTCTTGTGTAGGCACACAATGTTTGCTCATTATATCTAAAATAATAAAAATTGTTATTCTGAAAATCCACTCAGTGATTCTATCAATAAAAACAATTAACCAACCACAGAACTAGTGATTTAAATTTAAGGACACTTTTTATTACTTATCTTATAAAATGGCAATTTTCAGTAACAATTTAGTCTAAGAAAGATACTGTTATAGCACAAACATATCATTTTAGTAAGAGTTTTGTAAATATTATGATCTAAGTTAACATTTATGTACCAAACATCTTCAAATATAGTACTAGAAAGAGTTCACTACTTTTAGTATTATTTTAATTCCTAACTGACCATAAAAAGTTTTGTTAAGACATTCTATAATGCAAAAGGGGAAAAATCCTCTGGACAATAAGAAATATTTGCATGAATAAACCTAAGCTTTTGTGGTATAATATAAAACTAGTCAGAGAAGTACATTTTCTGACTTTAATGTTTACAACTTATATTTTAAAGTTACTTAGACTATCCGTGGGGGTGGGGTGAGGCAAAGGCAGGAATGTATTGTAAATGTATTGGCAAAAACATTTACCCTTTGAAATCTTGCCATACTCTCATAAATTAATGTTACAAATATCTGAAGAAAAAGTTTAAAAGAAAAAATTTCAGAAGAAGGATTTTATTCAGTAATACTAAAGAATCAAAGGAAGTGTTAATAGGAGAGAGAAAAGCCTAAACTGAAAAGATATCTAATTTTGTTAGGTTAATTTCCTAGAAGGATGTCTGAATTATATTCATAGTTCTTATTCTAGGTATTCTTAGATGAAAAATCTATGATCGCTTACTTAAAGATTAAAGAAAGCCAGGGAATATCAGAATAGTCTGGCTTTCTCTTTTTAAACTTATGGTGTCTTTTTCCTGTCAATTTCATGGGGAGAAAAAGAATATATCAGTAAAATAAAGGTGTTTTTTTAAAAAGTGAGTGAGCCCTAGTCAGTTTGGCTCAGTGGATAGAGCGTCAACCTGCGGACTCAAGGATCCCAGGTTTGATTCCCGTCAAGGGCACATGCCCAGGTTGCAGGCTAGATCCCCAGTGAGGAGTGTGAAGGAGGCAGACAATCAATGATTCTCTCTTATCATTGATGTTTCTATCTCTCTTTCTCCCTCTTCCATCCTCCATGAAATTAATAAAAATATATTTTTAAAAAATAAATAAATAAGTGAGTGAGTTTATAAATATTATTTAGAATTTAAAAAATGGATTTGGGTACTGTGAATGTAGTGATATTAAGTGTTACAGAATGTGTAATACTAACTGGATGCCTGGGCTCCTAAACACAGGAATGGAAGAAAATAAATGTCTTGTATACTGCAGATTAAAAATAATGTGTGTAAAGTTAATAGGTAAGACATTAGAGTTCAAAAATAAGCTTAGGGATTTAAAGAAAATCTATTAAATT